GGAGTCCATCTCCTCTTCCATCTTCTCCTTCCCCTTCCTTGGATCCCCTTCTTCCGCTTCCCTGGCTCGTATTTCATCTATAAATTCTGGGTCCAGTGGCCTCAAAACAGCGTCGCTCCATCCACAAACAAAGCATTTGCTACTCAACTAGATTTTCCAAGTCCATTACAGTTTCCTCAATGAATTGGAATTGAAACCAATTCAATACGGAGGCCTCCAATACAGACATCCGAATGCAGTGTTAGTGGCACCATTACGGGTGTAAATATCCTGTAGTACTAGTCTGATTGCTGATATCTGGAGCAATTTTATCGGAAATCTGTTTGTTCTGTGTGTTTTATGTAATATCACAGTGTGCCCCCTTTGAAATAGTCCAGCAGGCATTAGTTAATCATGGTGTTCAGCAAGGTGGAAGTGAACCTGAAAAGGCTGCTTGAGGCGGCCCCCCGCCAGCAGAATCAGGCTAAGCTTGTCCATGTAAGTGTAGCTCCTCTAATCTCCTTAGATTTGTATCATTCTTAATTTCTGTTCAACATCGGAGCAGACAATGTTCCGTAATTAATTTAAATGGAGGAGAAGAAAGATACAGCTTCCACCTGGATCCTTTTGTTGTTAAAATGAGTATAAGGAAATTTCTTTGATGGAACTTGCTTGCTTCATTCTGTTTTTGTTCAACTTTAACAGGTGGTAGCTAATGGATATCCTCACTTTAATCTTTATCAGTTTGGCTGAATCATGTACTGGCACTGACAGCCTCCATTTGCAGTACATAACCACAGCCAGGGAGCTGTTGGAGCAGCTTGGAGCTGAAATTACACCAGAAGGAATATCAAGGTATGGTATAGTGTTGTGTGCTATTGGGGAATTAATATGTTGATGGTGGTATAGCCTGCAAGCTGCAACCTGTGTTCCAGCTAGCATTTGTTGAGGATCCATAATTATAGAAAGAAATACAGCCGGTATATGACAAGATCGTAACCACCAAGAGGTCACGGGTTCAAGTCCTGGAAACAGCCTCTTACAGAAATGTAGGGAAAGGCTGCGTACTATAGACCCAAAGTGGTCGGACCCTTCCCCGGACCCTGCGCAAGCGGGAGCTACATGCACCGGGCTGCCCTTTTTTTACTCTTGCTCCTAGTTTATGAATTTAGTGTGTCCTTCCAAGGTACCAATACTTAAATCGTGCGAATGCATCTGTATCAGTATCACCATCCATTTATATGTATTTCCTATTAATGTGAAGGATTAGTGGTTGTTAGTCACTGAATACAGTTTGCTGCCAGCTTGCTTTCATTGATCGTGTGTTTCAGCATTTCAACCTCTCTGTACTGTTGTTATAGGAATGGGCCCAAATTTTGATAGGAACTCATGACGAATGCCACTATAGCTTTTCGCTTACATATTTGAATTTTCTCTGTGTACACTGACTGGCCTCCAGATGTACCATTCTTCTTCAGTATAAAAGGGCCCATGCTTCTCCACTCAATAAAGGCACACAAATCTGGATACTCTTTTTCTTTTGAATTCATGGAAATCTGGATACTCTATCTGTAAAGATACTCTCGTTGCTTGACAAAAGAAATCTTACATGAAGGTTCAAACTACAAACTTTCATGATTTTCTTCCATTTGATGGCCTGCATTTTGATGATGAGAATGTCTGGTATACTGCCTGCCTTTTCATCGGCGAGTTTATACTGATAGTCTTGTGTGGAGCAAAGCAAGTTGTCCTTTTCTCTTTACGCGTGCATTCCCATGATCAGAACATGTTCATTCATGACTTCCTTCTTGATTCAGTGTTTCAAAAGCTAAGCTCAGTGAGTATTCAGAAAAGATTGAAGCACTAGCTGCCACGCTTGCTTCTCTAGTGGTATGTGTTTATCATGTTGATTCATATCTATATCGATATGCTAAGTACCTCTACATGTATCGGTGCATACCACTGCTGCTCATATGATGTAGTTTCTAGATGCACTTTCAATACTATACTTTTTTGATGCAGCCAGAAAATGAAAATCTGGTTGATGAGAGTAGAGAGCAAGACAACTCTTATGAAAGAGAAAAGGTTGGGAGTCCAATATCCTTATCATCAGGATTGCGGAGGAGATCGACGTAAGTGATATTTGGTTCTTTTATATGTTGACTTTTCTTACAGTAACAACTAACAAACTATTGGATGCAATTAAATAGGGCTCAGATGGAGGTTGGACCAAGCAGTCATGAAAGAAAAGAAAAAGACACTGGAGCACCTATTAAATTGGATGCAGAAGCTCAGGCTCATATTGAGAAGCATAGGTATGTCCCCCTTTTTTTGCAAGTTTCTTTTGGACCTCAGTCTCTGGCTAAATGCTCTCATTATTCTTATCTACACGAGCAACCAGTTTATTGCTCCATTCTTTGACTGGTCTCGCTGATTTTGCTGCTGTGAAAAGCTGAAAGCTGTAACCAGTGCTATATATTTTATTATTACCCGTTTCTTTTGATGTTTTAAGAACTAAGCATGGAAAGTTAGGGTCGTACAAGATGAGCAACTAAATATACTGGCTACCCTCTTACTGTGTTGGATCTCCTAACTGCACAGGAAGCTGCAAGAAGATCTAACTGACGAAATGGTTGACTTAGCACGCCAGCTGAAGGAGAGTAGCCTTTTAATGAACCAATCCGTGCAAGATACAGAGAAGGTAGCCTTTTCTGTTGCCTTGGCATTGTCTTCTTTTGCATGAAGTTACTTCAGTTCCATTTCTGCTGGATGTTTACTGAGAATGCTCACCTGCTTTGTGCTTGTGATGCAGATCCTCGATTCCACCGAGAGAGCCGTGGAGCATAGCCTGGCGAGCACCGGCCGTGCAACGGCGCGAGCCTCGGAGGTCTACTCGCTGGCCTCCAAGACAACCTGCTTCCAGTGGTTGCTCATCTTTCTGATGACCTGCATGTTTGTCATGGTGGTTCTGCTCATACGGATCACCTGATGTCGCCATGGCGTGTCACCAGTGGCCGCTAAGATAGTACTGCCGTCTTGTAAACAGTCCTTGTACGAAGATAAACTTGAACCTGTGTTCCAGAGGAGCATTGTTGCTCAACATCATTATGCAGTTTGCTGAAGAAAGATGTCCCATTGGGAGAATGCATCGGCTCACCGTGCACGCACCCAGGTGCTGTTGCCCAATGTTTTTGTTCATGCTCATTTTCTGATGAAAATGTGAACCTAGAAATTTTGGTCTAAGAGCATGTAGACTTTTGTGTGTTGTACACACACAAAATTGTCCCTCTGATTGAACTCAAACCACGCAAGAATTATGGAATGGAGGGAGTACTTTTGAAGGAGACAAAGGAACAATTTATGCGCATAAAATTTGCTCTCTTTTTTAGAAAGGACCTGAAGCCTTGCGTTTACCTTCAGCATAGCAATGCAACATGTTTCTGCTCAAACAGTGTATAGTATTCATTGCATGCGTCACATTTCCCTCGGCAGCTTCAATCATAGCCACACAACTTTCGATCCAACGGCACAGGATGGCCAAACGTCGATTCTGTACCCCAGGGGCAGAGCAAACGGTTCCAGGACCATATCTAAATCTGAGAACAGTTTTTGATTAACTGGGGCCAATGGTTTGGTTGTTTGCCCTGGGCTTGATTGGTTTGGGTTGTGATGGGCCCAGACTGTTATAAGTTTAGTTTGGTTTGGGTTTGCATAAAAACGAGTTGGGTATGGCTGGGTATGGGCCTAAATGGTGTGGTCGCTGATAGATGTGAATCGTGGTTCAAAACCGGTTCTCGGACTGGAGGTATGCACGTGACACGCCGCGGCTGGACACACAGGTACATACGCTACGCGACGCGACGCGGCTGGGCACACACGTATTGAGCTGCTACTGTAGAACAATTACGTTGCTAGCTAGCTTGCTTGCCGGTTAGCTTTGCATATACGTCAGATTGATTTGGTTTCAACCCAAAACAAAGAACCGGGTTAAGCCCATAGATCGAAGAGTGGTTTGGTTTGGTTGAGGTCAACAGAGCATACGGTTTGATTTAGTTTTGGTTATGCGCGATGATTGGCGGTGTGGTTTAGCTCTGGTTCAAACTCCATATTGATTGGTTATGGTTTAGGTTTAGTTCAGTTATATGACCATTGCCAGGTTTAACCATATCCAACAGAGCCCTCGGCCGCACTCAGGGCCGGCTGCGGGC